TGCTGAAACTATAGTAAATACATGCTGGTTGCAAAGCACCCAAATTTTGATAACATGTCCATGGGGATGATACAACAGACGTAAGTGCAATGACGGTTGCAAGTCAATTTTTTTCAATGCCATTAGAACTTTGAATGGTCATTAAACAAATGGATGTAAGCCAAGGACCACTTTCATGCATTTTATGTTATGTTACCCTTTATGATGGTTTAGAAGTACAAGTTTGGATGGGGAATGGGAATATATTCCATCAAGTCTCCGGTAGGTCACCATTAAAATAAATACACAAGCCTTCCCAACTATTCTAGTCAAAGGATTAAGTCTTTTAAAATTTTCACTTGGTGCCAAAACTCAAAAGTACACCCAACACTTCAACCATCACTCTCCTTCTCAAGGACCAGAAACTTAACCTGGGTTCAAAAGAAGTTGGTTGCACAGGAAAAGGTAATTCTAGATGATGCAAAATGCTTTTTTTCAATCAACCTACTGGGATATTAAGATCAGAATGCTCCTAAGGAAAATTATTTTTTGTACATTCTTTCATAGGAAAAGAAACTCTACTATTTATGGTGGTTTTTTTCCCTCTCATCTCTAGGTTGTTTCTGGGATTCGGGCAAGGCTATGAGGGGTCCTTGGTGCTTTCTGAGCTTGGTTGTTTTCTTGCAGATTTTTCATTACCCAAACTAGACAGCATCATCAGTAAGAGTAAGGAGTGGGGCTTGCTCTCAGTTTATATTTTAGTTGCTTGCTCTGTCAGTGTTGGTGGGAGTGGTCTTGGAGGTTCTTTGGCTGGGCTCTTCTTGATTGTTGATCTGATATTAATCTTGGAGTTAATCTATGCTATTCTGGATGTTGATTAGGAGAGGGAGCTATTTTGGTTTTTTTATTTCTTTTCTGGCTTGTTGATCGTCTCTTTTCCACAGTATGTAGATATTACTTATAACTATTTGTCTATTGATGGCTAATTTGTCAGAGTGCCAGGCTTTTAGAAATTCCCTAGTGTTTTTACACTTGGCTTGGTTTAGGATGGCTACAGTTTCCCAACTGAAAGTATGGTTAAGTCTGTCCATATGTTGTGAAATTAAAGAGTTTTGATTATGTCTTCTGACTGCTATGGGCAAGGCTACGGAGACAGCTTCTATATCTCTATAAAGGGATCACAATTCTGATTATAGTATCAGAGGAGTGTTCCTACCTTGTTCATGTTTAAACACGGTATTTATCTATACTCTTATTCAAATGCTTGTTATTTGAATAATAAATAAATGTACAGTCATTCCAGTTGGTTACCATCACCAAAATATTTAGTATACAGTGAGCGCTAATCAAATGGTGACCTTTTCACGTAGAGTATTATTTACATTGTTAGATATTACTGAGATCTGTCTCTTAAGAACATTAGATAGTGAGTGAATGAGCATGATGGGAGAAAGACAGAAATTTCAAAAATAAAATATTCTACCTACATCTGGGCAAAACACAAGAAAAAATCTTCTTGATCATAGATCTAGATTTTGCAACATCCCAAAAAGGGAATATGAATTAGAATGTCCATAGAAAATTCAACAAATGGCCAAATGTTCCATTTAAACCAGAAGCACTCAAACTATTAACAATTTAAAGTGTGTATCAAATTATTATGGGGTTTATCATGATAAGGTGGATCAATGTCCAATTTGCATGAACAAGCTAATAGCAGGAACAAGATATTCTGGTAGAGCTCCTACTTTGTTTGCAAGTAAACATGCAACGTTGCAGCCCTGCAGAATCTACTCCCATTCTCCTGGGAAACCAAGTTACTGGCTTGTCATGCAAAGAGAGGAAAACCCAAAACAAACTGTGCTAGGGCTCTGGCTTTTGTCTGGCTCTGAGCCTTATGTCTTCCATACCTCAGCTGGATGGTGGTCAAAACTGAACTACCGTATTGCAGGCAATAACAAAATCAGGATCTTCTGCAGCAGAAATTATGAAAATTCTGCAAGCACGTCCACCTATTCAAAATATTGTTTTAAAGTTCACTTACTGTAAATGTTCAAAGAAAATGTGTTAATATTATAAGATTACATCATTGTTGTATTTGAAATATGTATCAATAATTATTATTAGTGGTATATTTACATCTTGTCCATCCCTAATGGAAAGAAATCATTAGATGGGGGGGGGGGAGCGAATAGGAAAGGGAAACCACACAAATTCATTTATCACTTTATGGGTCAAGAAAATGCAACATTTGAAAACTCTAAGGACATCTCAGATAAACTTATTGTTTTTAAATTTTCTTTTGCACTTTAACATGTATTTTATGTTTTTCTAGTAATCTACATTTTATATCCTATTACTTTTTATGATTTAATATCACATCTTGTGCTATTTTAACCCAATTGTGAACTGTATTGTTTTTTAATAGAGAAGGCTATATATATAATTAAATCTTATAACATTGAAAATGTCTTTTCCTGTCTGTACCTTTCAGTCAAGAGATTTATAGCTCAAAATGGAAGTCTCCTTTGTTGCACATATTACATTACCATGTGAGAAGACAAGTGACCAATAAATCAAGATACAAATAAATAGGCAGAAAAACAGAGCTTATTGACAAAATAATTTGATACATCCAGTATATTTCTACTGTTATTCCTACACTGTTTCTTAACATTGAATTTTACTTTATCTGTCATTGCTTGGTGTTCTGCTGCTAAGGCAAAAATTGAAATAAACATTTAACCTGTCAAACTGATCTTATTCTCAGTCATGTAATATTGTAAAATTACTAAGCAGCAAAGTGAAAAAAAAAAAAAGGCCCTGAGCGGTTTAAAATTAAATCAATTCAGGACTTTCAGACTGCTAAGATCTGCAACCAGTATAATGACCTCCGTCATTAGCTAATTGTCACAACATTGCTTTACTGTTTCTTATACTGAATTCTCTGCAAATAGAATTCAATATACCTTATGTATAAAGGTAAAAGAGTTCCTCGCAACAATACCTCAAAATTTATGAATGGCAAATTGTGTTCTATTATGTGTCAAATAACTTGTAACTTGATTGGATCCATAATATACATAATAAAACAGAAAATATAGAGACATCAGCTTGGAATGGTAGCATAGAATAACTGATTCAGAACATCATGTATCCTTATACATTAAAAAAATACAACTTCTGTATATATAAACACATGCTGATTCTATCTATGAGGCTTTTTTTAAATGAATTGGTTATTGGGCTATGCTATTATTATGGATTAAATTGTGTGTGTGTGTATGTGTGTGTGTTTGTGTGTGTTTGTGCATGCGAAACACATAATTATGAGCTGTCCTAAGTATCTTTTCTGTCCAAATAATTAGGAAATGTCATTTAAGACAAATATTACATTTGCTCTGAGCAGTTTGTATAAACTAGCTTTAAAAATCATCAAAGCAAGCCTACTGAATAATACTCTTTGTTCACATAGATAATAAGTATCAACTGCACAGATCAAAGAAAGGCAAGTCAATTTTACCAAGAAGCATTAACTCATTTATCTAAATTATATGGCTGTCATATATAATTACCAACCATATTGGTTCACAAAAAAAAAAAAAAAACACCATTCCCTGGTTCACAAAATGTGGGAAGAAAGTGCAAGAATGAAGAATCTGGTGCTGTATTATTCCTTAGCTATTAATTTTTAAAAGATTACTCAACTATGCTAAATTATATTTATTTAACTTTCAGCCTGTAACAAAAGCTGTTCAGAAAGATCACTGTAGCAAAACAGGCAGGAATTATGGATAAATTGTGTAGAATGGCTTTGTGAGCAAATTGATCTTTGGAATCTTTCCAAGTGACTTTGAATCTTATATCATCTGCTTTTATAAGCATCTGGCTACCTGGTTTTTAAATAAGGAAGCCACAAAATGCCTTGGTCATAGCTCAACATTCAAAACAATAACAAAGGCTTATGTTTATCTGTCACTAAGTCTCACTGAACCTAGGGGATTTTCTCTTAAATAAATATAATGAAGCTCACAAATCTTCTGAAAAAGATACCAAAAGCACTTTTATGCAGTAATCCAACTACTATTGATAATAAAGAATGAAGATAGAAATAACATAGGGAAACGGCTTTTCTTATCTATGCTTTTGGCCATGCAACCAAGATTGAATATTTAATACAGAAAATATTTTAATTGCAAACCAATAAAGTAAAATATACAGCGAAGCCAAAAGCTTTTCAGTAGGACGTTTGCCTTAACTAGAGAAAGCTCTTTTATCCGATGTATTCCTGTATTGCATTTTCCAAAACTTAATGCTAAATCTAAATTTCACAGGCATCCTACAGTAACAAAGAAATCAAGTCGCACAATCCTTTTTCAGCCTTCATGTCGGTTTGATTTAAAATGGTTATATTCAAACATTATGGCTCGCCTCTGAAGTCTGAAACATCAGAGACTCCAAATGATTTTATACCTGACACCTTTCAGATGTGTAATAGTAAGGAGGCAGCACCAATAGGTACAAAGGTATCCTTGAAGGATCAGTCACTTAAGGAATTAAAAGAAATTCCTCGCACCTTACATATCTGACCTTGAGGCCAACACCTTGGAGAACCTTTCTATCATTTACTTCCTGGTATCCAATGTTAACAGGACCGTCCACCGATATTGAACAAAAATGACAAAACCAACGAATACTTTCATACGAGGAGAGGGCTAAGAAATAATGTCCCTATGGAACCGCATTTAATAATCTACGCGGGGTTCCGCGGGAGAAGCAGAGAGGAAGCCTCGTGAAGGTTCGGTGTTTGACGTCAAAATCCCAATTAAAAACAAAACCACCTCGAGTAGATAGGTAAAGAAGTCGTGGGAATTCACCCCTGTAAGCAAGAGCAGGTTTTCCTGCCTACTACCCGAGCCCACATTCCTCTCGCTTAGCCTACCTAGCTTGATCTACATTCTTTGTGACTGAAACCTCATCAGATCGCAATATGTTCCAAAGCCCAGTCGGCAAGCGCTTACCCGTTTGCTAGGAGACTGGGCACCGGAGCATCTGTTGCTTTAGTAGCCGCTCTCCCATTGCTAATTAGAACCGAAGACCCAGAATGCGTAAGGGGGTGGGTGTGCGTGTAGCGGGAGGTACAGAGTCATTCTCGCTCCTCTCGTTCCTGCTGCAGCCCCTAACAGGAACTGAAAGCTGACACATCAACAAAGATGGCTGCCCCGGGGATCCAGACCAGCTTCATTGGAGAGGCGGAGTGAAGGCGGAGCGAGATCCGATTATCAGCCTGCAAGGGGGAGGAGAAAATATTCCGAATAGGTCTGGGTTAATTCCTCACTCAGCAGCCCGAAAGCTGCATCTCGTCATTCATCGGGGCGTTGCGATTCATGCCTAGTAAAATATCAGGCTTCGCTTCCCCCTCCCACTGGGACTAATCTGGTTGGGAGTAACGGCCCTGCCTTTTAAAGATCGCACGGGTTTCGAGGATTAGAGCCGTTTGCTAAATGAAACTACTGATTTTTAACGTCGCCATGGAGAGAAACTGCGGTTCAGCTTATTGAGATTGGAGATTGGAGTAGAATCGCAGAGCTTTCTTACTACAACGTAGTCCACGAACAATAATGCTGGAGTGGAAGTAGCCTGTCATTCGTAGAGTCCGGGGAATCTGCTTTTATACAGACCCCGAACTCGTAGAACCCATCTTTCTAGATTAGCTCACATGCAGAACCTTTCCAATCATGATTGAAAAGAAATCGATGTGCCCAACACCCATATTGTATATTTAGCACGGAGCTGAATCTGCTTTCTTTGATGACTCGCTTCTTCAAGCCTCTTGGAATGATTCCAAGTAACTATACACAGTACAGGCAGCTGGTGTTTCTCACGCTACCACATGTGCAATTAGACAAGATCTTCTAGGGTCGTATCTGCACAGCGCCAGTTCATCCTGCAAAGTAGCAACAGTAGCTGCTCCCGCAGGTATCCACATTCTTCAGCATGTAGATACTATCGAGTTGTAGTTGAGGTCTCCTAGCAGCAGCTTTAGGATCTTACATCTGCTGGGGTGAGGTATGGCCTATTGACCTGCAAAGGAGTAATGTAGTTATCACGCATGTTGCAGCAATTGGATATTCTATTGGTTCTACAGCTGCATTCCCGCCAGGATTCCATCTTTTGCAGGGGGTAGGCACCAGCCACTCATATAGGGCTCTCTTGCTTGAAGTCTAGACACAGAAATGCCAAAGCACCTGTCCAGCCTAGACGAATTCAAATCACCAGGACCAGATGGATTATACCCCAGGGTTCTCGAGGAACTGGCAGATGTGATCTCAGAACCATTGAACTATATTTTTCAAAGATCCTGGAGCACTGGGGAACTACCGGAGGACTGGAAAAGAGCTGATGTAGTTCCCATGTTCAAAAAAGGAAAAAAAATGGACCCAGGAAATTACAGACCTATCAGCCTGACCTCAATACCTGGGAAGATTCTGGAAAAGATAATCAAACAACGAATCAGCGAACACCTAGAGGCAAACAAAGTCATTACTAAAAGCCAGCATGGCTTTGTCAAAAACAGATCATGCCAGACAAATCTTATTGCATTCTTTGACCAAGTGACAAAATTAGTGGATCAGAGGAATGCTGTGGATATAATTTACTTGGACTTCAGTAAGGCATTTGATAAAGTAGATCACAACCTACTACTTAATAAGATACAAAGAAATGTGGGTTAGGCAGCATCACCACCAGATGGATCCGTAGCTGGCTTCCTCAGTGGAACCGCATCTACATGGAGGGAAGTGTATAGTTCCTTAGGAAGGCCAAGCTGACTCCCAGCTGCTGGCAGGGAGCTGGGCTGACTCCCAGCTGATTCCCAGAAGCTGGGCCGATACGCGGAGGCTGGGCCGGCTCCCAGTTGATCTTTGGGAGTTGGGTGGTGCACGGCACTTCCACCGACCCCCAGCTGATGTGTGCACACTGACCCAACTCTCAGCTGGCTCCCTTCGGCTCTATGTGGACTTCCGCGGGATTAACGTGGTTTGTGTGAAGCACCTGTACCCACTCCTGTTGATGAAAGACCTGATCCACTTGGGTACAGGGCGTGTGTTCACAAAGTTGGATCTGAGGGAGGCCTACTCTCCCAGTGATGGCGAACCTTTTAGAGACTGAGTGCCCAAACTGCAACCCAAAACTCACTTATGTATCATCAGGTGCCAGGTGGGCATGGCCCATTGGTGATAATGGTAGACTGGGTGGGACTAAGAAGTTCAATTAATTCCAACTTTGCGATATTTTCTTTTCCCTGCAAGAAGTTGAAATTTATTCTTTTTTTTTTTTTTGCACATGGTGGAGGCCTAAAGCAAAAAAGTTTTATAAAACCCAGCTGAAGGCCTAGGGCTGGGGCGAGGATGCACGTGCCTTCAGAGGGCTCTGGGTGCCAACTGTGGCACGCGTGCCATATGTTCGCCACCACAGGTCTATTCTATCAAATGATTTATACTTCTTAATTTGTCTAAGTATAACCAGTTTCTTTCTCTCATGTTTACATTTGTGATAAAACCACAAGATTCTGGTTTCAGCCATTTTCTTTGCCCTGGTGTATATATCAGAGATTTAAAATTGCCTTTATCTTTCATCCAGCTCTGGGCTGTGTTACCTCTTGTCTCGCCCACACACACCCCTCCCCTTTGCAATGTACTCTCTCCTTCCTGAGAAACTGCTGCTTCATTGTAATTCATTACAGTAGCCTAGACTAGCTTCTGGCCACCATTCTCTGCACATAGCCTGATCTAAAAACCAGTTGGACTTTGTTTTTGTTAGGCTACCAGCATGCTCCAGTCTGATAAGCCATCTGTGCTTGAGCAATAGAGATCCATGGGTTGAAGGGTTTTAAAAAAAATATTCTTAAAAATTAAAAAATTGAATATAAGATTAGTTTATTCAACGAGGGCTAAAATAAAAATTTATATCTGGTTACCCTAACTGGACTTTTGATGGCAAAGAACATTTGACAAAGCTTTTGGATTTTGATTTTTACCTAAGAAATGAGCTATCCCTATATCTGTGCATTTGGTTTTTCTTGCCTAAATGTAGAATCTTACTTTTCCCACTATTGAATTTCGTTAGATAGACCCATTGTTCAACTCTATCAAGATCCATCTGTATATTGAGCTTATCTTCTGCAGTATTGGCTATTCCTGCCAGCTTGGTGTCACCTGCAAATTTGACGAGTTCCCCTTCTATTCCCTTATCTAAGTCACTGATGAATATATTGAAGAGTATTGGGGCTAAAACAGAACTTTAGGGTACCCCTCTGCAATTTTCCCTCCATGTAGATGCAGTTCCATTAAGGACTACACAATGAGTCAACCAGTTACAAATCCATCTGGTAATGCATTGATTTTTGGTTCCATCGTGTGGTAATGTGGCCAAAAAATGTGGCTTCTGATATCTGGACATGAGTCTACTGTTACAGCAGTGTTTCTCAACCTTGACAATTTTAAGGCATGTGGACTTCAACTCCCAGAATTCCACAGCCAGCATTGCTGGCTGTGGAATTCTGGGAGTTGAAGTCCACATGCCTTAAAATTGTCAAGGTTGAGAAACACTGTGTTACAGCAATATATTTATACTGCATCATTGTAATCACTGATGTCAAGAAAGTTAAAGTCCATGTATATGCAAGGAATAGCATTTCAACCAATACTTTCAGATGTTGTCGAGTTTTATATAAATATTGGTAAGCAAAGAGGCAAAATGAATAACAAGGAACCCATCCTTAATAGAGTATTGAAAGCTTTCCTCATTAAGAAATTATTTAAAAATCCAAGCTTCAGACCCACATTCTTGCACAAAAGTGCTCCAAACCATAAGATCCATAATTATAATGCTTTAGTTTCTGGCAATATTTTTACATAACATTAACTGAATCATGATTACTGAATTACCATTATTTTCTAGGTTTTATGGCATATCTTTATCACACAGGATGAGATCAAACAGCACGTTAAGAGTAAAATGTAGTTAACTAGTTGGCAATTCAGTGTCCTATGGCTACCTTATAGTTTATGGTGTGAGGTAGTGTTAGTTAATTTAGCTGTTTATTTTGTGGGTTCACACAGCTCGCCAAAGCATAAACTAACTCCCCTAGCTGGGTTAGTAAAACAGTAGGTTGAAATATGTCTGACTAGTTTGTGGTTTGCTATGTTGCATGAATCTAAAACAGTTGATTATTTCAATAAATTGCAGGCTAGCAAGTTATTGAGTTTCAAATTCTGCAAGAGCATTTTCTTTCTGCAAACACAACTTTCTTAGGAAAAAAAAGTTGCTTTGGATAGTAAACGAAGGTATAGTATTTAATCTACTGGGCTCAGATATAGGACTGAGATATATATCCTAGTGTCTGAAACAGATTACTTTACACTGCAATTACTTAAGGAGGTCAAATGCACGGAACCAAACAGTTACTTCCTAAGAAAGCAAGCACTGAAATAATTACACAAGTTCAATGCCACCTATACACAATGCTCATACTTTAGCATTTGACAAATACCTAAAAATCAGTATTATTATACTATTGTGCTGTACACGGATATTTTAGGTACAGGCAGTGAAATCGGATGTCCAAATCTCGTGCAAGAAAATATGTAAAGCTAAGGCACAGGTACCGTACACCCTAGACAACGAACCGAACCAACATGAAAAGAGTTTGCATCATCGAGAAAATTTAAAGAATTAAGAATACAGCTTGCAAACACGCAGCTCGCGCAGGCAAAACACCCCCCCCCCCTTTCCCGGCATTTCCTTCAGAATCTCCGCGTCCTCCGGTTATACAGGCGGCGCATGCGCTCTGGCGATCACGCGAGGTGGAAAAAAGGAGACGAGGCTAAACGTCCGGAACGAAGCCTCGTTTCATTCGGAGTAAATAGCCGAGAAGGCTGTTGAAAAGACCCTGCGGCCCTTTATTTTTTAAGTGGGGAGAGTGGCGGGTTGTGCTTCCAAACTATCAAATGTAAGCTCCCAGGCTTTCGCTTCTACTTCAACCTTTGGGTGGTAGGTTGCAGTTAAGCTCGCCCAGGACCCCTGGAGAATACACCCGCGAATGCTTTTGCCCCAGTCTGGAGTGGGCCGGCCGAGCCACAAATTGCTAAATCTCTTCCATGCGGGTTTTAGATATTGCGTCCTTTACTTTTGGACTACATTAACACCTTGCACGAGCCCTAATGCAATGTCC